AGGCACCATCACTCCTAATCCCTTACCCCAGTGCATGCATGTGCACACACACACGCACACACACACACACACACACACACACACACAGACAAAATTATGAAGCTTTCTAGGAAGCCTCACCCAAAACATTCCACAAACATACCATTGCCCTATATTTAGTCACATGGGTGCCCCTATCTGAAAGGAAGGCTGGGAAATTACATTTTTTCATCTGGGCACATGGATCTCCACCGCCCCCACCCGCAACAAAATCAGGTTTTGTTCCTTAGAAAGAACAGGCAGAAAGGGTATGTGATAGTCAACTAGCAATTTCTGCCCCTCCCCCCCAAATTGCCATATCTGTTTCTTTATTGAGATTGTTAGTTCCTGGAAGGTTTAGTGTATGTCACTTTCATTTTGTATTTCCAGGGCCTAGAACAATACAAGACACTTAGTGGTTTACTGTTTATTTCCTTCACCTACAATATGAAGGGTTATTCTGTGTAATCTGCCTAGATAAAAAAAGATTCCATGTTTTACCAGAATAATTTTCTGTGCTTTATGTTGACTTTATTATGTCCTTGATTATTTAAGAAAACAAAGTGATCTCACTTATGAAAGACCTAAGGTTCATGATCATCATGTTACCTTATATTTTTATTTTTAAATATTTTATTGTCACTTTCTATGAATAGCTACATATCATTTCTCATCACCGTCTTACATGTTCAAATATCCTGACAACTTTTCATTGTTTGTTCTACCTAAGATTGAATCCTAAATGTAAAATGAAATAAAATAGCTTTCAAGATATCTTTGGCACCTACAGCTATCTTTGAGATTTTCCAGAGGTCCCCTGGACAATCAGACTTTTTTTTTCACCTTATAAAAAGAGATATACTAGATACTATTATGTTTATTTGATGTTACTATTGATGAATTGCATGGGAAGAGTTGTCCAATCAGAAGAGATGCTCAGCCTTCCCCTGGTTAAATTTGTATGAGCAAAATGTTATTAATATAAAATTTTCAGAAAATGTATGCTATATGGGAAGTCTCTAGAGATTTCTCAATGCCTTCAGTTTCCATGATGTTTCTATTTATCAGAGTCCTGGTGGTGTTTTGCCTGAAAATATTAGGCAACAGCACTATAGTGTTATCGGTCATAATTTTAGTTATTATTTAAAATGTTTACTTGGCCACAACCATACTTCTTAATCTGAATTTAGCATCTTCAAGGGTTTTTAATTGAGGATGCACATCAGACTTACATATGGAGTTTTATTAAAATACAGGTTTTTGTATACCTGTTCCAAACTTCAATCTCTTTAGTTGATATTCTTAATATTCTCTCAATATATATTATTCCTGTATGTTTGGTATATTCATAGCATAGAATGTATGTAATGTCTCTTTTATTATATATTTAAGCTTTTTCTTTATTAAAATTATGTTCATCTTTTTTTTGTAAATCAGATATAAGTTTCAGTCTTCATTGAAAATAGGCTCAATTATTATCCTTTCAGATATATATATTTTAAACTTTATTAGGGAACAGTGTGTTTTTCCCAGGACCCATCAGCTCCAAGTCCAGTTGCTGTTTTCAATCTAGTTGTGGGGGGCGCAGCCCACCACCCCATGTGGAAGTCGAACCGGCAACCTTGCTGTTAAAGAGCACACCCTCTAACCAACTGAGCCATCAGGCCGCCCACCAACAGCTCAATGGCAGCTCAGCTCCAGCCGTTGTCTTCAATCTAGTTGTGGAGGGCAGAGCTCACTGGACCATGTGGGAATTGAATTGGCAACCGTGTTGCTTAGAGTTCATGCTCTTAAGCAAACTCTTAACCAACTGAGCAACCTGGCCGCTCCCAGATATTTTTTTTTTAAAGATTTTTTTTTATTGGGAAATTGGGGGGATGGGAACAGTGCTGGGGAATTGGGGAAAGGGGAACAGACAAGTTGCTGTCGTTTTGTTCTTCAGTCTAGTTGTGGAGGACGTT